GTGTGGGGACAGGACGGTGCCCTGGGGGACACCGGCCTCCATGGGACGGGTGGTGGAAAGGGAATCTTGGATTTGGATGCGGAATTTTCGGTGGTGTAGGTAGGATTTTATGAGTTTGGTAAAGGATATGGGATATTGGTTGGTGAGCATTTTCATCAGTAGGCCTTCATGCCAAACCGTATCGAAGGCCTTTGCGACGTCCAGGAAGACAGCACCAGTGTACTGTCCCCTGTTGAAGGCCGCCGTGATGTGCTCGGTAAGGCGAAGGATTTGGAGTTCAGTGGAGTGATTGGGTCGGAAGGCGAACTGCTCGTCTGGAATGACTTGCAGTTCTTGGGAGTGGGTTCTTAGACGGGTTAGGATAATTTTTTCTACCACTTTGCTCATAGCCGGGAGCAGGCTAATGGGCCGGTAGTTGGATGGGATGGTGTGATCTTTGTTGGGTTTTGGGATAAGGATTATGTTTGCTGTTTTCCAGCGGGTAGGGAAGTGTCTTAGACTGAGTGTCGCGTTTGTTATGTTTAGTAGGGCCATGAGGCCCTTATGTGGTAGTCGTTTGAGTGTCGTGTTATGTATATTGTCGGGTCCGGGGGCTTTTGTTTTTAAGTCTACGTATTGTCAGTCTTAGTTCGTCAGGAGTTGCGGGGGGGATTATGACATTGTCTGGCTCTCTGTCGACGCGTCGGGTTTCGAAATGTCGGGTTAAAGTTTAAAAAATATTCAAATAAAAATTAGTGAAATAATTTATGAACATCTGACACGTGAGGGCGCTGTGCACTATGTCAGTACTATCAGTTGATAAATTCGGTGTCAAACTTATCGGTTCAACTCTTCAACAGAAGATTTTATCATCTGAAGCACCAGAGGGAGCGTCAAATTTAGATATGTAGATATACATTTTAATCATGACGTAAATATATTTAAAAATTATTTTATTAGCTTCCTTCACTTTTTAACAAAATAACGATATAATTTTTCGTTTGAAATAGTCAAAATATAACTTACATTGGTTATTTATTTCGTCTGAATTTAATTGTTTCTCTATATGGAGCGGAATTACTCCAATCTCACCTGCATGTTCTATCAGAATTTTTACTATTTCAATTGTCTTAGCTGATATTTTGGCAGAAAATTCTCTTACGGGTAGAATATTAGGTGCTACACATACTGAAAGATTATGAGAATTCATTTTATTGTTTTTGGAAAAGCTAGCAACTTGATTAAAAAAGATCATTAGATAGGACAATAAATTCAAGTGGTCTATTGGAAGGAGTAAGGTGGCAAGGACAATGATTTCTTCTTTATTGCTATGGTCGCAGCAAGCAAGGAAAAGTTTGTGATATGGGATAGGAATCAGCGGCACTGACAATTCCCTAATGTAATATTTTAAAAGCGCAGCCGCGTCTATAACATCAACGTCTTCACCTTCATCTTGCCAAGGCTTCTCTTTGGCTATCTTATTCTTCATACTATCTTGTTTGGATTTAGATCCCGCTTTCCTGAATATTCCTTCATGTTCCGCATTTTCCAATATGAACCTGCATAAATCATAAAATATCTTTGGGACAGGAAACATAAGATCGTTCTCTAATTTCATTTGAAATGCTGGAATTTTCTTGGACGCACTGAAACTTTTCACTTTCCCATTTTTTAATTTATTGTCACACGGTAATCCTTGGTCTTTCAAATAATTTGCGACATGTTTCCTTACAGCAGCTTTATTGGGACAGGTATTCATATACATACTATTACGTTAGCACCTAAGTTGACAAAGAATTTTGATTTAAGTGACATGTCATCAGTTTAATTGATAAATCTGTCAGTCACTATAGCTGTGTTCAGCGATTGGTCAAACTTTTCGAAACAAACAGTTCGCCCGGGCTTTAAAAAGTCGTTCTCGCTCACCAATTTAATATTTGTTTCTCTCGTGTTTTCAAACCTAAACCTAGAACTCTTTTTACGCTATTTTTTATTCTCTGTTGTTTTTCCACATTTCAAGTTATTGTGATCTTGTAGTAAATTTATTTTTACCATTAGTTACATAAGCTGGGCTGTCAGATTGGCTGACGCTTGCCTAGAAATTTTGACGTTTGTAAGCTGTCAGGATCCAGAGGTCATTGCGATCGACTCCCTCAGATGTGACAAATTACCTATTTCTTATTAATATTTATTAAATTTATTTGCTCTAAAATGTAAGAAATACACGAAAATTTAATCATTTTTTTTAAATGTGTTGTAAGAAAATATAGAGACATTTAAAAAAGTTCCTGTAAATTTAGGTAATGGATTTGGACCCGGAGAGAATAGTGTGCAAGGAAGAGAATGTTTGAGTATCTTGGGTGGCTTAGGATAGGTGTTACTTCCGTTTATTATGCACCTTTCGAATTCATAACGACAGGCATCGAAGCCGAGTAGTTCTTTTACTCTTGCAATATTCTTGGCTGATGGTCAACGAACTTAGTTGCGTGCCATTTTTATCTGAATGGTGATAAACACATTATTAAATATCAACTTAACGTTTAGTTATTACAACTATATGTATAATCTACTTACAATTAGAAACAATAAGATAAATAAGAGGCAATAATGAATTTACAATTTCATTCATCAGACAGATGATGCCAGCCTTTCAAATTTTCTTTAAATTTGTAGTAGTTTTACGGTAATCTTCGGTATTTTTTAAATAAATTTATCAACATATATACAAGGTATTAATCAAACGGCAAAAATTCAAGGAGTTAT